AACTGAAACCAGCTGATGAATCAGAATACTTCAAAGGACCCATATTACACCATTTTCTGACCTACGTTGTTGTTTCCTCATGAAAAACATGAATGAAGTCGTCTTTTCCCCTCACACATGTTTAACACACAAACCCTGCATGTGAAGGCGGAGTTCTTCTCTCATACAGAAAACACTGTTCCACCTTGTGATGTCATTTGGAAATAATAGGAAGTGCTCCACTGTGTTTTTAAACTCCGTACACCTTCACTAGAATCAGCTGGATGATTTCTGACCTGGAATTGACAATCTCTTCAAAACAAAAAGGTAAAAGGTAGATGTTAACTTTTTTAATTACCGTATTTAATTACCACTTCATGACATCACAAGGTGGAACAGAGCATTTTGAGCTTTGGAGATGTAGACAGACCAATAATAATAATGAAACAAAACACAACTCGAGGTATATTTCTGATAAAGTAACGACCTTAAAACATGACGTAAAACTCACAAGAATCAATTTTGCGTAACACAAGACCTTTAAGTATAAATTTAAATCAGAATCGTGATTTTTTTTTTTACATTTTCACCACATTTCCAGCGTTTACAATGTCCCACTTAATCCCACCGACGTTAGGGACAGACGGCTTTGGCTAGCTCGGCCGCCGCTGAAATGTACGTTAAGAATTTGATTTGGGTGGTCAATCTGATTTGGCTCCGCACTGGCAGCGAAATGCGGAGAGCAGAACCACGGAAAGTCCACCTCTAATTAAGTCTGTGTTCACTGGATTCTGTCTAAATCTGATGCTTTGTTATGACGGAGAGAGGGAGCTGCAGAAGGCACTTTGAATACCACGTACTCGTGCTCCACCGGGATCAAAGGGAAAACCGGAATGGTCTTGTGCAAATTACCTCCAGGCAGCTCACCGCGGCAAAATCCACTTTCGCAGTTCAACATTCAAAAGCATTGAAGGTGGGAAGGAGAAGAGGAGAGAGAGACGGAGGCTTAGAGGCACGAGAGGGTTCAGCTATAGACTGCGCACATGCCAGCTTTCATTTGCAACATTCAAATGGAAAATACATGGAAAATATTTTATTCATCATTCCGATTTTAGACGTGGTTTTGTATTTGAAAGTTTAGCCTATAGGTAGTCTTCATGAAAAATGTGAAAATATACAGTCAAAAGTTTGGACACGCCCTCTTATACAATGTTTTTTTTTTTTTTTTTTCCTTTAGAGCTAGAGTTCAAGTTTTTCTTTACTACATAATTCCATATATTTTGCTTGATATATCTGATGTTTTTTGTTTGTGTCTAATATGTATAGTGCAAAAAAATAAAAAATGAATGAGAGGGTGTTTCCAAACGTTTGACTAGTAGTGAACCGTATTTTTCGGACTATAAGGCACACTTAAAGTCCTTTAATTTTCTCAATAATCTTATAATCTGGTGCGCCTTATGTATTAATTCTGGTTGTGCTGACTGATCTCGAACCGATTTTATGTGGTACACGGCCCACAAAAATCTTTCAAAATGTTTTAGTACGACTTTGGTAAACTACGAAGCTGCACCGCTTGATGGATTGTCGGAGCATTACGGCTACTGTAGTCAGGAGCCTCACAGAGTCATGTCCTTTAGTCTGACAGAAGCTGACCACATCAGAGCACAAAGAACAGCTGTTTTTTCAGCGCTTATAGTTTATGCAAATTAGCCACGTGGTTTTAAGTTTTGATTCTGTAAAACGTAAACAAATGTGCTCAAAGCCGCATCAAACACATTATTACTCAATGTATATTTGAGTTGTCCTCATGGGAAATTAAAAAACTAATTTAAATTATCCACCCACATTCACATTCATAATACACATTCACCAAGACAGAGGAAACGCCGGGTGAATTATGCCACAATCAGGTCAGAGGTGCCTAGGCTAAAATATCAGTCTCAAGTGTCGTCTGTTTGTTTCACTTAAGGCGCACTGAATTATAAGGCACATTATGTATGAAAATAGACGAGAGAATTCAATATTATTGATATTGCGCCTTATAGTCCAAAAAATATGGTAACTTATCTTTTTTTATTATCCAGGGCTGAAATCACCTAAATCATTCTAGTGAAGATGTATAGAGTTTAAAAATACAGTGGAGCACAAAAACTGCTTGCTCCTTGTACTCTGATGCTGTCAGCTTCTGATGGACTAAAGAACACGACTTCTCCATCACTACAGTCGCCGTAATGCTCTGACAATCCATCAAGCAGTGCAGCTTCGTAGCTTACCAAAAATATTTTGACAGATTTTTGAGCACCGTGTACCACATAAAATTGGTTCGAGGTCAGTAAACACAAGCAGAATTAATACATAAGGCGCACTGTTGATTTTTGAGAAAATTTAAGGATTTTAAGTGCACCTTATAGTCCGAAAAATACAGTAACTTAAAAACTACCGTTTCATGACATCACAAGGTAGAACCGAAGCATTTTGAACTTTGGAGATGTAAACAGACTAATAATGCAAGATTATTTAAACAGGTATGAATGAAACAAAACACAACTCCAGGTCTGTTTTTCAAATTACAGCAATAAAAATGAATGAAATTGAACATAAGCAACGTTGAAAATATATCACACCGTGGAACATTTCAGACAGGTGGAAACTTATATAAGGCAACTTTAAAAAGAAACTAACTACTATTGAGAATATTTAGTCATTCAGTCCTGAGTAAAAACTGGTGTTCTCAAAGTAACAGCGATGCGCCAACAATCACACAGATGTTCAAACAAAAAAGGCAGGTGAAGTGTCTTGCCGAGGGACACAACACCTGCAGTAACGGAAGTCCAACTGCTGACTTTTTAGTCCATTTACACCAACCACCTGTTTCTGTGGCTGTGATTGAGGGTAAGAGTCCATCTCATAAGGATTTTTTTTGCAGCCAATATGATACAGATAAAATGGGAGTTGGAGGTGCCAATAGCCGATATAAAAGCAGATATAAAAGTGATGTAAAAATTCACTGTAAATCTTCACCTGATTATAAAACTTACGTCTGGCTGTACTGGATTTTAAATTGGGTTTATTTAGGTGACATTTATTATTGTTCTGCCTCTTTACAGTCATATTTAAACAGAGTAGGTCAGACTAATGACATTTTTGCACGACATTCTAGCCAGTAAAGAAAGTAAATAAACTACTGCTTTCAGCCTTTAGCGTAAATGCGTGTGCTCCGTGGTAACTAATTATACGCGTAAATGCTGATCATTCACACCTCTATTCACAGCTCATCTACACATCAGTGCAGATCTAAAAACATATATTATATACAGCTACTATAGTCACTTTACACTAGGCCAGTGTCAGAGAAAACAGGCTGTTTATGTGTGGGAGTTTCAGCAGCTAATCAGTAACCAAAGAGAAAAAAACTAAAGTAGCTTGAAAACCGACACATTTGCAACACTCAGCGCTCACACAGGGAACTCTCAGATCACAGGATTAGACACAAGAGCATTTAAAGCAGCGCCTCAGAGTTGCGCACATGGATCTATGTAATGACTGCAAGCACATGTGAGTGACGTGAGTCTGGGGGTGCGTTCAGGGGCAGTGCATCGTCACAGACACAAACAAATGACTCCGCAGATCAGTATTGATACGTCACCGCATATTAGGACATTTATCTGTCTGTACATTAGTTTAAATGGATGTAATATAGACAGTCTAAGCCAGGGGTGGGCAAACTTTTTGACTCGTGGGCCACAAAAGGTTCTAAAATCTGACAGAAGTGTCTGACCAGGAGCAGATGGATGGAGTTTTTTGGTAATCCACCTCTACAAGAGAAAAAAATTACATGGAATATAAGCAAAAACATATTCCATATTATTGAAATATCCCATAATTGAAAATCATAACAAAGCATTACAACAAAATATCTGTCTTCCAAGTCCCACAATATTTACTATTTATTGAAATAACATTTAAAACACTGACAATTATTAATAACATGCCCACGTGGAGTATCGGCCTATATAAGCAAGATTTAACCCAGAGGTGTCAAACTCATTTTGGTTCGGGGGCTGTATCCAACCTACTTTGATCCCAAAGGGGCCGGATCAGAAAACTCATGACATATAAACCCCAAAAATAGCATTGAGTTCAAATATTTGTGCAGAGAAAAACAAATCTATTACAGAAATCTTTGTTAACTGATGAACTCTTTATTTTACAACCTGAAACTATAAGATGCAAAAATGCAATTTCAACACAATGTTTTAACATGAACTTGTATACAAATAGGAATAAGTCAATTTTTTTTTGAAAATCCTGCACTCGGTGTCCACTGTTCTCATTTTTGACATTTTTCTGATGAGGGTGTCACGGTCAACAGTCAAAACGATCGTCCTTTAAGAGCGTTTGGAAAGAGGAAAGTTTTCATTTGTGCTGCTCTGGTGGGAGGGGCCACGTACAGAGGCGCTGGAGACACTGCTATGTTAAGAGACGCAGAAAATTACCAATATTTTAATAGGAAATATAATTAAAATATTTTAGTAGAAAATCAGCCGAGGGCCAGATTAAAAAAAGGTCTTGGAAGGCCGGATCTGGACCCCGGGCCGTATGTTTGACACCCCTGATTTAAGCCGATAGCCGATATGTCTCCAAGTGTCCGTATCAGCCAACCTATATATCAGTCGGGCCGTAGTTGTGGGATCTTTTCACAACTCTGGCAGGTCTAGCTGTACAGTTATGCTCCGTCTGTTACAAAGACTACAGATCAGCTCCTCCTCTATATAGCTCCATCTCTCTTTATCCCTTGATCCATCCATCTATTTATCCCTCTGGCTCTCACAAAGCACCACTTTTCAGTTCATTTAGGATTCTGTGGAGGTGGGGTCTAAACCAGTTCAAAAATAGCCACTGATCAATGGTTATTATGCTCAAAACTCCCAAAACGCATCCATCTTCCACAAAATTATTACTCTACTTCTTCTTTTTTTTTTTTTACCAATAAATCACTCAAACTCGCCCGCGTGTCTTACCTTGACTGCTGTGAACATCTGCAGCACAAGGACAACCCTCCAGAAGTACCGCTCCTCCATCTTCCTCTTCCGGACTTTGTAAATCCCAGACCTCTCTCTCGCTCTCGGTGCCGCTGCAGATCCCCGGGCCTGTGCGAAAGATGCCACCCGTGACTCATTGGTGCAAATTAGTTACCATTTCACCACGGAAGTAACAGACCAATTAAAAGTGGAGTGATGAAGATATTTATAAGACGTAATTGGAAATGAAATATGCAAATCAATACAAGTTCAAACGATCTCGCTTCATATCCACGAGAAAATACTAGACTGGGATGGGGAGAATAGTATTTTGAATAATGCATGGCAGGTAGAGACATTGATTTGTTTGGGGTCTACAATTTCGGTAAAATGAAGAGTGGGGCCGAAAGAGTAGTCTCAATCGAAAACGCAATTTGAAAGGGCATGATTAGCAAATCGCAAAGGCTGCAATTTTTTTAAGTACCATAATTTCCTCCACAAACAACAAAATCTCCTGTCTTATTCTGTATAAAAACTCCCGACCCTATAGTTTAGAACTGTACAAATGTGCTCTGAAATGTGAATCTTTTTGGACAGCATCCTTTAATCATAAACATAAATCGTAAATCTAATTGCAATTCAGTTTTTCCCGAAATCATTCAGCTCTAAAGAAGAAGCTGAGGTGGCTGTAGGTTCTGCTGCTGCTGTGGAGAGAGTTAATAATGGCTTTAGACGTGATTGATTAACTCTCTGACACCCCAACATGACCAAAAATGATCATGTTGGTGTCACAAACAGTTCCAACCACATGAAAGTGCTATAAAATAAGATGGAATTAACATTTTTTTATACTTTCAATCGCTCAAATCTTTGGTCTACTTGGCACGGTGGCTGAGTGGCTAGCACTCATGCCTCACAGCAAGAAGGTTCTTTGTTTGATCCCCGGATCGTCCGGGCCTTTCTGTGTGGAGTTTGCATGTTTCTCCACATGTCTGGATGGGTTTCCTCCGGGCGCTCCGGTTTCCCCCATCAACCCAAAACATGCTACAGGTCTCCAGAACAGTTGATAGTTAAAGGTCAGTAAATACAATCAATTCAATCATTGTGTGTGTCCTTAGGCAAGACACTTCACCCAGATTGCCTAGTATGAAAGTGGTGTGTGTGTGTGTGTGTGAGTGATGGTGGTGGTCGGAGGGACCGATGGCGCCGATTGGCATGGCAGCTGTGCTTCTGTCAGTCTGCCCTAGGGCAGCTGTGGCTACAATAGTATCTTACCATCACCAGGTATAGAGTGAATGAATAATGCTGAATAATGCTCTGTAAAGCGTCTTCGGGGACAAAAAATGTCTGTGAAAAGCGCTATATAAATAAAGACTTACTTACTTGTCTTCTGTCCAAATATATCAAGAAATCTTCACACTTGTTTTATTTTAGATGCAAAAACACAAAAATTGCAAAGTCTGAAGTGGATTGTTGGATTGAGATTATTAGACCATTACACCCTGTATGTCAATCATTTATAAAAAAAACACTGATTTTGATACATTATTAGTGTCTTTTTCACAGCAGCAGAACATGTGTATTTGCAAATGTGAATTGATTTTAGAATGAATTAGTTCCACTTTAGACAGGCCATCAAACAGACAGTGTTTGAACAGGCCCTGGAGTCCAAGTCTGAGGGGTCACATACAGTACATGTCCTCATGGGAAACAGGGAGATCGTCACAAGGATGTTGTGAGGAATAAAGTCATTTTGGGACTTTTCTGACACATATTGCAATTCTGATTTGGAATATGATGTGCTTTCAAACCAAGGTTCAGTTGTCTGCAGTACAAAATCTTATAATGGGATTTGAGAGAGGACTGAAATAGAAATTGCTAAATGACAATATATACTATAAAATACATACTTTTCATAGTAAGATTCATTTGATTGTTTTATTATCTACAGACTAGGGATGATTAGTTGATTAATAGATAAATGATCATTAAGAATTTCATCGATTATGTTCATTTTAATCGACAAACCGAATGTAGGTTGCTGTGCGTAGCGTAGGGTGACCAAACGGGTCTGTACATGAAGCTCTCTGCACTCAGAAGGAGCGAGACACAAACAGTCGGTCAGTCTGTGACGTGCCGAAGCGCAAATGCGTATTATGACTTGTACAAGAAAGTCCACGCTTTCCGTTCCGGTCGGGACAAGTGTGAGGCCATGTGCACAGTGTACAAAGCAGCACATATGTTTCAGTGTCCAGTGGGAAAAGTTTTACCAGGTGAGAGTCGAGCAATGTCGATGACAAGGCCCCACCTCCCTCCCCCCGTACGGTGTCCTGGTTTTGACAAACACAAATCTGGTCACACTAACCTGTATTCCACTGAGTCGTGTCCTTTAATCCAACAGAAACTGACCGCATCAGCGACACAAGAGCTGTTTTTTTTTCTTCGCTTAGTTTATGCAAATTAGCGATGTGTGTTTAAGTTTCGTTTCTGTGAGAGTTGCGCAAAACTGAATTAAACACATTATAATCTCAAACGCGCTGATGTGGCTCTAGAGTGGTTATGTTTATATGTCGTAAAGTTGAATTTATTTATGCAGAATAGCAGTGCAGATAGTGATAATAATGATGATCATTTTAATATAAAAACGTTAATGATTAATCGATCGTTAATTCTTCCGACGATCGATTAATAAAATTTCATCGAATGCCCATCCCTACTACAGACAGTGTCTCTTACCTACAGAATATGATGGTTATTGTGCTCTGTGTGAAGGAGTGGCCCCAGGTCCATCAGCAGCTCCCAGCTGATGCCCTCCTCTGCACAGGCTATTTCTGTGAGAGCCATTTCAGACTGATGTTATGGTGCAACATGACCAACAGTTTGATTTCAGCTTGACTTTTGTAGTTTCTCTCCTGGTCTCAGTTACAGATCCTCTCTGCTGCTGCACACTCTAGATCCATTAGCACAAAAACACTTGTGTGTCTGCAGATGTGTCCCACCTGGAATCCCTCCACTGCCAATGATCTTAGACCATAAAAATATTTTTTACAAAAACACAACCAATGAAATATGGGGTTTGAATTTAAAGAAACTGTAAACAAAAAAGGTCTTGGAGGACAGGCTGGATTTAAAGTGATGAGCTGACAGGAGCAGAGTCAGGTTTGTTTTGACTGTTAAGTCCAGACAAACAAACTGAACTGTTCTGATATCTCACCTTTATTCAGGTTCAAGTCCACTTTACACAGAAATATTGGATTTTGAGATTATAATTGGATATCATGTATAAAATGTTCACAAAAAAATAATACGGCAGTAAGGGCAAATTCAGCAAGTCCTGAAGGGCCAAAAAATACTTATTTTTTAGCCCCTGGGCGAAGGTTCATACACCTCTGATGTTCAGCGCTCTTTTTAGCATTACTCGAGACTTACAAAAAGAGGTGAAAGATGTACCATTTCTGTGGCCCTTTTATCTCCCTTTTCAAAAACGGTGTGCTAAAGCAACATTTCAGGTAGAAATTTTGGGTTTTTTTGAATATTTTTTCAACAATCTAATCCTGACACTTAAGGCCGCCACACACTACAGGAGAATTTGCTCAGTTTAGGCTGCGATTTGCTTCTCCCCGGGTTTGTGGAGGCGTAACCCGACTATGTGTCTTCATGTGCGATTTTGAAGCCGGTGCGCTCCTCGTGTGTGTGATTCTGAGCTGCTCTGTTGGATCGTGACCACCAAACATCAGCCACGCTACGGTAAACGGTAATAAAACGCCACGAGCAGACAGAGTGACGGACACGGAAGCGCAAGGCACAAACTCAAGACAGCAAAAATGATGGGTCTACTTTATAATGGGGAGTATAATGGAAGTCAATGGGACACTTCTGAGGACCAACGAAGGCAAAAACTGTAGCACAGAGATGGGAGGGGCGAGGTGAGATGTGAAGGTGCCATTTTAAAATTTGATCAAAAATAACATTATCTGGAAAGTTTCATAGCTCTAACTCCGATATAACCCATTTTTTTTCCAACTGTGAAAAAAAAAAATGTGCACAAACGATCCTCTGGGGTGTCTTCAAAATTGCGATTTAGAGATTAAGCCTGTCACGGTAACACATTTTGAACTGTGATACATTGCTTAAAAAAGTAAATTTAGACAAAATTTAAATGATAATATTGAAATCAAACCATAAAGCAGAATTATAAAAGTAAATAATGAGTCGTAGAAGTCATAATGCAGAAAAATAACCAAAAATGGTCAATTAGTACAAAGAAAAAGTCTCCACGATAAGTACTAACACTCAAAAAGTATTGTTCCATATGTCATGTTTTGAACAATAAGTCAATATAATAATAATCTTGGTCTAGTTGTGATTTGTGTTATGTTTTTTTTAGTTTTGTTTCCATTCAGAGTTCACATTTTAAACTTGTCCAGAGGAATTGACAAAAAGACTGAAATCTGAACTGACAAATAAACACAAGAATCACATTTCAGAGCATGTTTTTTGTTTTGTTTTGTTCTTTTTAAGAATAATAAGACTGGATATTGTGGTACTTCATAAACTGAAGCCTTTGCAATCTGCTAATTGCGTCCTTTCAGATTTTAGATTTGCTGTTCATCTTGCAGCCATCGATTGCTCTGTCTTGGAACATCGCCTATTATTCCAGACTTCACGCTTATATATTATACAAAGATGGGTCGTCTGGGTTTATTTCTCAGTAATCAGATGATTGACAGGTGGATTAGCCAATGGGCACGCTCGGTGAAGGTGAGCTTGTTTGTTTCCCATATGCCACTGGAATAAACAACCCTGATTGGACAGCTCGGTGAGATGTGGGTGGCGGGTGACAGCCTTTGATTATAAATTACAGAGCATCAGTCTGAACGCCAGACTTGTGCTAGACAAGAACAGTACAAGAAGAGCCAGAATTACAATAAATACATTCAGTTATTTACTAGACTCTATATCTGATAATGCACTTTGTTGTAGCATGAATAAAACCACATCATGCCGTTCTAAATCAGGTTGAATACCTTGAAAATTAAAGATACACTATATAAGGTTTAAGTTGGAGGGTCTGATGTCGTCTTTCCTCTGCGGCTCTATTCAGACTGCAGCCTCAAGTGACCCAAATC